CCCGTGTCTAGAAGCAGCCACTACCCTGCCAGTAATGAGGCCTGGCCTCCCTCCCCTTTTCCTCACGGGTAGGGTGCCCACCTGAGGCTGCATGCCAGGCCGGCACCCACGACGCCCCCTCCCCCGGACTCCTGCAAAGAGCAGAGGACAGGATGTCCTCGTGCTCAGGCACCAGAGCTGGGGTCGCTGCGCAGTGGAGCCCACCTGCTGTTAACGAGGCTCAGAGCAGGTGGACAAGCTGAAAGGGCCAGATGCCAGCGAGGAGCAGGCCTGTCATGCCCTCCAGCCAGGGGCAGAGTCAGCTGCCCCCGATCTGCAGGGCCGCACTGGGGATGCTCCCTGCTGACTGAGTGAAAGCCACCGAGACCGATAGCTCCCCAGCATCGGAGGGGCCAGGCAGACGTGAAGTCACAAACCCCAGGATTCCCTGGGGTTGGGCTCCGTGAACGTCCCTCTTCTACATCTGAGGCTGCTTTCCAGTCTTGCTCAAAGACCCTTTGACTCCAACCACACAGCCATTTCCTGGCCATTTCCATGGCCACCACCAGGTCCCAGGTCACTGTCATCGCTCATGGGGACAGCTGCAATCACCTTCTCACTGGTCCCCCCTCTCCCAGGTTTGCTCTCCTGAAATCCGTTCCCCACCCTGCCCCATGGGTCATCTGTCTGCAGCGTAGACACAGCCATGCCTCCCTGCTTTGAAGCTTTCATGTTATCAGGGAGAAGGCCATGACCCGGCCCTCTCCTCCCACCGACCCCTCCCCCTCGCCCACCAACCCCAGCCACACAGACCTCCTCCCAATGTCTCCAACGTGGCGGGCAAACATCCACCCCAGGTCGTCCCCCCAGCCGACCTTGCTGCTTGGAGATCTCCACTCTGCTTCCTCTCTAACAGCGCTTCTCTAACAGTGGCTCCCGGACCAGCAACGTCAGCATCTCCAGGTGATGCTGACACACGTGCAAATTTAAGAAACACCGATCTAATGAACTCTGGTCTGTCCTTCAGAGTGGAAAGTTTAGATCTTAGCTCAAATGCCGCTTCCTCCAGGGACCCTCCCTTGACTCCCTGACCAGCACCTCATGGCACGCCGTACCCCTCCTTTACGGCCATTCCCAGCTGTACGCACACAGTTAACTGTGTCATTCATTGAAAGTCTTCCTCTTCCACCAGAATATATGCTCCACATGCCCAGGAAATATGTTTTTCACTGATCTACTCCCAGCACCTAGAACTGTGCCTGGCACATAGTGAGTGACTAACAGCAGAAGCAAGCCCTCCTTCTTCCAGACTGTCCTGCAGCAAATATTTTTACATTTACTCTGTGCCTATTCTGGGCCAGGTGCTGAAACAAAGAGAAAAGACAGCCGCTACCTCCAATGAGCTACCCACCACAAGGGAAAGTAAACATGGGGACAAATAACTGAGTTGCAGCTTCAAACAGATGGACAGTCACCAGACAGAGAAGTCGGGGAAAAGTATTACAGGTAGAAGGAACAGCATGTGCAAAGTGCACGGTGAGTTAGACAATGCAGGGAGCTGAGAGGCTGGAAGGAGTTGCAGAACATGAGGCTGGAGAGTGCAGTGCAGATGCAGTGGTTAAATGCCGCTGAGTGAGCACTAGGCTAAAGAGTTTGGGTTTCATTGCATGGGTAGGCACTGAGGAGCCACGGAATAATTTCGATCAGGCCAGTGACCTGATTTTTTTTAATCATTCCAGTAATAGAGTGTGGGAAGCCAAGAAGAGTGGCTTCATTAGTTCACTCATTCACCAAGTATATTTCGAGTGTGGCCATATGCTAGGTGCTGGGACACAGCGCTGGGCAGAGCAGACGCGGCCCCAGGAACTGCAGCCTGTCCTTCCGTCCACACCGTCTTTATCTTTGCCTCTTTCCCGTAAGAAGGAGATCACAGTCACCTCCAACGCCCCCATTCGCTCACCCTCGATACTGTCCCTGGGCCCCTCCCTGCAGCCTCCAGGGACAACAGAGGTGCCCACAGCCCCTGGCTTCCAAGAGGTTCTTCCAGGGGAGGGGAGGATCCTTCTGAGACAATGGGAGACTTTGTTGCTTCTGCCAGGGCTGCTCCAAGAATAGCTGTTTGCTCAGCTCCAAGCAGGGCTGGTGCTGGGTCGGAGGAGGGTGTGGGGCCCTGGAGCTTTCATGTGGCCCAGGCATTAACCCCCTGAGCCTTGGGGCCTCCTCCAATTTCTCACTGGCGGGGAGGAAGGAGGGTGGAAGCAGGCATCCCTTGCAGCACTATTGTCGGAGCCTGGGTCGCAAGCGGTCAGCCCGCGTTGTGAGGTTGTAAAGCATTTTTTCCTAAATAAAATTGTATGCAGAAACCCGATATATAAAACCAGTTGAAGTGACAGTGGCTCTAGCTGAAGTGGGGGTACAGCTTTTCGGCACCTCCTCCCGACCCCTTAGCCCAGAACCTGCCCCCTCTCCTCTCTCCGGACTCCAGCCACCTCTGACCTGCTCCCAGCCTCCCATGTGGCACTTGGCGAAACAGACAGAGCAGAAGTGACTTGCTCCAGGCCGCCCAGCAAGCTGACGGTCAAAGCTGGGACTTACACTTGAGGAATGTTTCCCAGCTCTTACAATTTTTACCCAAACCTTACTTCACCTATAGTACTATTAACACTTTTCTTTAAAGCAATTCACATGTTCCTTCTAACTTTGTTTTAAATGGAGATCTTACATCATTGCCATACATGGCAGGTCTTTACAATTGCCATGAAAAGATAACACTTAATAAATACACGCATTTTTTAAACTGTGCATCCACGTGCCACTTAAAAGCATCTCACGAGTGTGCCCACACCTTCCTTTGGGAACTGCTGCCTGGTGCTTCTAAAAGGTTAGCCTCTGTCCGGCCCAGCTCTACACTGATAGCCCCTCAACAGCAAACTGGGCTCCAGCCTCATCTGCATATGTGCCTCTCATCCAGGGTTTTTGCTTAGACTTCTGGCGACAGATGAGGACACAGGGCAGCAGGCCACGCCAACAGGTGCGCAGCCCCAGATCAGCGCGGTGCTCCCCTGACAGGCTGGGGCATTCAGAAGGGGGCAGGCGGACGAGGATTTGCATGGTGCTGGAGCTTCTCTGTGGAGCTCCCTTCCCAGCAGTGAGCATGCGCTGCTGGGTCCCTGCCCACACACTCTCCCTTCAAGGGCCCAAAGCCCCTGGTCTGTGTGTGGCCTGGGTCAGAGACACCCTGCGTGGTGGCCTCTACGGCTTCACCCTCACAGCCTTGGCCACCCGGGGCTCTAACCACCAGGGAGCTCTGCTGAATGTCTGGACCAGGGGTTCTCACACCGTAGCCTCTGGGCCAACAGCTCTGACGATTCCTAGAAACCTGGTGGGAATGCCAGTTCTCGGGCCCCACCCCAGACCCACCACATCTGAAACTCTGAAGAGGGGCCCAGCAGTCGGTGTCTTCACAAGCCCTCTAGGTAATGCTGCTGCTGCCCCTGCTGAACTTGGAGAGCCATAGGTCTAACCCTCTCATTGCACCCTGGCTCCTGCCCACATCTTCAGCTGCCCTGGCCGCGTCTCAGTCCTGCCAGCTAGACTCTCCGGGATGGGAGCCACAAATCTGTAGCTTTAAAATAAACCCTGAAGGTTTAAACGGCACCCCAATGATTTGGATGCCCAGCCACAGTGGAGAACTGTTCTGGAACCTCGGAGCACCAGGCCATCAAAATAGCCGATACGCCCTTGAGGCAGACACTTGTGCCTGCCTCAGTCCCAAGTCCCCTGGAATCCCACCTCTATCCCTCTTTGGCTTTTGGGAACCTTCAGGCCATAGGCTGGATTAGCAAAACCACGAGCTTCGACCGCTTTCTCCCCTAGTCTCTTTGTCCTTCCTGTTTGTTGCCTCCCGTTAAGCCAGTGTCTTAGGCAGCTTGAGCTGCTATAAAAAAGTATCATGGCTGGGTGGCTTAAATGCAGACTTTTATGTCTCCGTTCTGGATGCTGGAAGTCTGAGGTCGGGGTGCCAGCACGGCCAGATTCTGGCGAGGACGCCCTTCCTGGCTTGCAGCCGGCCGCATTCTCATGCAGCCCTCCTCGCTGCGCATGGAGAGAAAGCGCTCTCTCTCCCTTGTCTTTCTTATAAGGCAACAAACCCTATCAGATTAGGACCTCATTCTCATGACTTCGTTTAACCTTACGTATCTTCTAAATGCCCTATCTTCAAATATAATCACATTGGGCATTAGGGCTTTAATATGTGAATCTGGGGTGAGGGGAAAAGGCAGAAAACTGTACCTGAACAATTGGAAAAAATGTGAAAATAAATCAATAAAAACATGTGAATTTGGCGAAATACAAACATTCACTCCACATCACCGGGATCAAATCTGTTTTTTCTCTGCCCTGAAATCTTGAGGGCTTTTCAAGAATTCTAAAAGTGTTTGCCTTTCAAAAGAAAACCACTGTGCAACCCCAAGGCATAACTCTCAGAGGAGGGGACCCCAAGCTGTGGCGGGAAGGAGGGAGCTCTGTGATGGAGCCAGCCCACCCCTGCCCCTTTAGGATCCGAGCCCCAGCCCCCAGGTCCTGTGCAAATCCAGCCCTGGGGCACCTGCCTCCTGCCCTCCGGCCGGGTGGGTTCTCCTGCCTTCCTGCTCAGCCACCAGACGGGAGGTGGGAGACAGGGTATAGGTTGAGGGCCTCAGTCATCCACCTCTACAGTACCACATAGTCCTGAAAGCTGGTTGCCCATCAGAAACACTGGGAAGCTTATTAAGAATTCAGATTCCCGGGCCCCACCCTCAAACCGTCTGACTGAGGAGGTACAAGACTAGCCCAGGAATCTGTATGTTTATAAAGCACCCTCTGCACTACCAGGTGATTGCAGTACAGCTAGGTCCTTTGGAGTCCCCCAGGCCAGACAACCCGGGAGGGGCCTTGCAGTTTTCAGGAGCCTCCTCCTGAATCTCCTCGTCCCACCTGCCCCAGGGATCCCCATAACCTGCTCTCCCCTCTCCCTGCAGTGCCGCCCCAGCCGGGGCCCAAACCTTCAGCCTGAAGCACTCGGAGCACGTGCAGGTGGAGGTGGTGTGTGACGGGCAGGCCGAGGAGGTGGTCACCAACGGCAAACAGCGCTGGCCTCTCTCGCCCAGCACCACACTCAGACTCACCATGAGCGAGGCCAGCACCGAGGCCAGCAGCGACAAGGTACCACGGCCAGGGACGTCCACCCCGCAGGCCCTGCTGGAACCCGGGCAGGCTGGACCAGAGCGGCCCCATGGAAATAGAATCAAGCCGCATGTATCATTTTCTGTTTTCTAGCAGCCACAAAAAAAAAACAAAAAAAAAACAAAGAAGCAGATGGACTTCATTTTAATAGCATCTTTTACTTCACTACACATATCAAAATGTTATCAAAATGGACATGGTGTCAACATGAAAACTACTAACCAGACAGCTCACACTCTTGTTACACCCAGTCTAAGGCTGGTGTGCGTGTCACACTCACAGTACATCTCAGTTCACACTCACCAAACGTCAGGGCCCGATAGCCACCTGTGGCGAGTGGCTACTGTGTAAGACGGCTCGGTGTGGGACTGTGGAATGATGGCTGCGCGCGGAAGGTTAAATCGCGGGCTACTGAATGGAAAAGTATTAGAATCTCTGGACGTCACAGCCACCGGTGCCCTTGTTTTTATCATGTATAAAATGGGGTACGGGGTGCCCGGGCAGCAAAGTGATTTGCCCAGGTGGTAAAGGCAAGGCCAGACTTTCCTCCCTGGGAACCTCTCTAACTGTGAATCTCAGGTGCCCCACGGCAGTGACGGGCTTTATCCAAAGGAAACAACCTCAGCCCTGCTCCCTAGCTACTTGGTGGGAGCCAGACATACACTACGGCCGGTATAGGGGCCCCACAAGTGGCAGAGTACCCCAGGGGCACAGGCAGGCAGTTGGCATCCTGGATGCACTCTGTGAAGATGGGAGTCCCTTTCTAGTCTGATCATCTGGGGGACGTGGCCCACCAACCCAGGAGTACTTCCTGGAGGAGAGGGTTCAGCTATCAGGAGAAAGCTAGCCTGACAGGCTGTGAGGTGAAAGGCAGGGAAGGTCACCACCGCAGATCTTCCTGCCTGTGATAAGTGACCTCTGTTCTTCTTTCTCTCCCTACCAAGGTCACCGTCAACTACTATGAGCAGGAGGGGAACGCCCCCATCAACCAGGCTGGGCTCCTCCTGACAGCCATTGGTGAGTTGACAAGGCCATAGCCTGGGCGCCTTCATCCCCCAGGGTGTGGCCTCGCCACCCTTCTCGGTAGCACTGGCACTGTTTTCAACGCTGCAGGCCTGGCACCCACAGCTTCCTCTAAATAATGCAGGACCACAGAGTGATGCCACAGGTGTCCGGGCTCTTCTCTACGAGGGTGGGGGATGTCGTACAGGGGGAGGCGCACCTTGGTCTGCAAGCAACTCACCCCAGTGTCAGGGTCCCCATCAAGGGCTCTGTGGGTCATGAAGAAGGAGGAGCAAAGTCATCTCCTCCCCCATCCGTCCCCTGCAACTGGGAAAAGAGCTCACCTTTCAGAGTGAGGGGTAAGCTTGTGCTGCCCTTCAGCTCCCTGGGCCCAGAGATTCCACCTGGGTCCTTAACTCACCTTGTGCAAGCCCTTCATTCAACTCATGAGGGCAGTGAGGCCCAGAGAAGTTAGGCAACTCGTTCATAGTCACACAGCAGAACTCTGGATGATTTCTACCCCCACCCCAGGCTCTTTGCCTCACACGGCAGTTCCCTGCCCTGGCGGAGCCAGCCTGGCTCAGCAAGGCCCAGAGATGTGGTTTCCTGAACCTTCTGTCATTCAGCTCTCCTGTAGTTAAGGTGCTAATGGTATATGTGGTTTCTTTAAATGTTTAATCATAGAATGTGGTTATAGTCCAGAGGATGATTGGTCCATCCAGCCTTAGTTTAACACTGGCAGTTGCCACGTGGTTGGGGGAGGGAACTACCCATTACTGAGTGTTGACTACATGCTGAATGCTTTAAAAATGATACTGACGTCCCCCCTTTATTGAACACCTACTCAGTGATCAGGACTGTGCAGGGTGCGTCCTGCCAGATCGCAATCTGTTCTCACCACAGTTCCAAGGATAAACACTACTAATGTCCCCATCTTACAGATGAGAAGACCAAGACTCAGACAAAGTGAAACAGCGCTGGCTGGTGTGGCTCAGTTAATAGGGCATCGTCCCCCTATCCCAAAAGGTCACAGGTTCAGTTCCCAGTCAGGCAACACGCATAGGTTGCAGGTTTGATCCCTGTTCAGGAAACAGACAATCGATGGTTTCTGGTTTTGTTTTTTTCTCTCTCTCCCTCCCCATCTCTCTAAAATCAATAATCATGTCTTTGGGTGAGGAGGAAAAAAAAGTAAAAGAAAAACTTGCCAGAGGCCACACAGCTGGAAAGTGGTTTGTGAGACACCAAGTCACTCCAGTCCTCTCATATGCTCCAGGGGACTGAGAAATCCCCACCCCACCCCCCAAACCCAGCCAGTTCCAGGCCAGCCCCTCCTTGTCCAGCCCTGCACTCGCAGCTGCCAAAATGGGCTCAACAGCAGTTCTCTTCCGCTTCTCAGCTTATTCCCAAAGGGCTTGGTTGCTGGTCCCCCACTCCTCCTTCTACCTGAGGGAGTGCCCAGACTGGGGCGGGTCCCCAGGACAACCTCAGGGGACTTCAGAGAGGAAACCAAAGCCTCCCGAGCTGCCACTGAGGGCTGGCACGGGCTGGACCTCACGTGCACACAGAGCCCCCAGGTCATCTCGGGTGACCGTCCCCTGAGGAAACCTAATCCCACAGAGACGGGACACCAGAGGACTTGAGCGGGAAGGACAGCGGCCAGAGGCCCAGGAACTGGGGTGATCGCCGAGGGCTGGCTGTACTGGGAACAGGAATTCCACAGAAGCAAGGCCAACTTAGGGTAGATGGCAGATACCACACTGTAAGGTAGCAAGACCAGACCCTCCGCACACCCGAGAAGACAGCAAAGCTTGTGTTGAGTCCCCAGAAGATACTGAACGTGCTGTGGTGAGCGACCAGGCTCCTCCCTCCAGGGCTCTGCCATGGTGCTTTCGCTGGACAATTATTTAGTGACCTGCTACACATTCCAGATATTTAGGTTCCACGAACCAGTAAAATGTCCCAACCCCACCAAAAAAATAATAATAATAATAAAATTAACATCTTTAATGCTTGGCCCCAAAACAGACATTAATAATTTGTCCTCAATTATCACCATCTTTCGACATTCATACACCTACAAAGTAGGCAGGGCATAACCTCAGAGTAAAACAGTCTTCACATTGTGGAGACAGAGCTTTATGGCGAACTCGCCTCGCTGAACTTTCATTTGCTGGCCCACCCGGGTCCCAGGTGGGAATCTGATTACCTTTGGGGCCCACTGGCCTATCTGACTTTTCCGGGTCTTGCCTTTTCTCAAGCATCTACCCCAGGGGTGCTTGAGCCCTACATCCCAAATAACCCCTCAAGGCAGCACCTCGGAGGCGGGGACACCTGAATGTCCCAAGATGTTGGGGCTGTGCCCTGAGGACATCTGTGAGTCTGTCTCCCCCTCACTCTGTCCTGAACCCGCACAGAGCAGAAAGAACCCTGGCTTCAGAGTAGACACAACTAAGTCTTAGTACTGGCTCTGCCCCTGCAGCCACATGGTGACCGTCACCCCACTGTGCCTCAGTTTTCTCATCTGCAAAATGGGCTCGCAGTGCACAACACTTGCAAGGATTCAATGGGACACTGTGTGCAAAGAGCCTGGTGCAGAATAGGTGCTCAGGTTCTCTCTTCTCCCCTCTCAGTGGCTACCTCCGCACTCTGCCCGGGTGAAGGTGAGGAACTCTGCCGCACTCAGGCTTCTTCGTGGTATTCGGGAACAAACCCGTAATGCTTTTGGCAAGATCAGGTTCTAGGTCTGGGTCTCAGTCCTACCAAGGACTTGCTGTTTGGTCTTGACAAGTAGCCTACCACCTCTAGACCGGACATTTTCCCAGGTGTAAAATGAGGGGTTTGAGCTCATTGGTCCCTGAGGGCCTTTAGGACTCCAGTTAGGGCTGACCTGCAAAATTCTCCTGTTAAGGGAGGAAGTGGGGATGGGGAGGAGGGAGGCCCAGAGTCTCAGCCTCTTTGCTGCAGACCTGGCAATGGGAGCAGTACGCCCACACAAGCCTTGAGAAGTTTCAACATCACCCTGGGAACCTCGCCCCTTGTGCCCCCTCCCCAGCACCTAGGGTGGTTGTGGGGGAAAGAGACCTTCTCCCCCACCACACCCCAGGCTGCCCAGTGAGTCAAGAAGGCCAGGTACGCTGTCACTGTCCACGGGGGCTGGTGGCCCACCAAAATGCTTGCGGCGCTGTGTCGAAAGCTGAGGCCTCAGCATCCGGGTTCTCACTTAGGGCAGGCTGCCTTGAACCCAATTTGACATTTCCCGTTAATCTGCCCCACACCCCAGGCGCCACCCGACACCTTCAGGCTATTCCCAGGAGCTGAGGTAGGACTCAAAGCCTCTGGGAAATGCAGAGGCCTGCGGCCTCGAAACACGTGTCCCCTCCCTTCTCTCCAGGATGGCGCAGACATTCCAGCAGGGCAGAGCTCCGGCCAGGTCATACCAGTTCTGCTCTCCAACCCAATAAGGAGCATCTCGTTAGAATCCAGTTAAATTAGACATTGGGACAAACTTTGAAGGGGAGCAGTCCTCGAGGGATGGCTCTTAGCTTGAGGAAGGGGCATCTTGAGGGAGGGAGGAGGGGAGAGAAGGCCATTTTCAGTTGACTTCAGAGACAGCTCATGAGTCATAAGGCAGCAAATGTGCAGCCCTGGGGGAGGCTGGAAGGTGGGTGGTAGAGGCACCCGATTACGTTAACGCCCACATTGCGTAACAGGAAGTCAGTGAAACCTACCCACGTTTCATAAATCAAGAAAGAGCAGTGAGCGTATTACTTCGTGTTACAGAGGTTGCTTTCAGGCAGGTAAGGGACAGGCCTAACAGGGAACTTCGTGCCAAACGGTTTCTTTAGAACTGCGCGTACTAAGCGATTTCTTGTGCACGAGGTGCAAGCATTCATACAATGTTTAAATTTAAGAAAGCATAATGAAGGAAAGCATAATCAAGTGCTTAGAATTGATCTCAGGGACACACCACAGGAGCCACAAAGTGGTGCCACCTTGTGGCCCAGAGACAAAGACCACAGGGCCGCTCAGGGTGGGGGTGAGGGGGTCTGTGGCCAGTTCCTCAGGGGATGATGTTTAGGGAATAAATCTTAGGCCCCTGAAGGTGGGCTTGGCTTCTGGAAGCAGCCCAGGGCAGAGGTCAGCCTGAGTCAGTGGAGGGAACAGCCAGGCAGGGGTCCAGAGTCAGGGCCCCGTGGGCTGTGTGGCTTTGCACTTTCTGAGAACTAGGGAGACCTCATTTCCCTGCTGGGTGCCTCGGTTTCCTCATCTGCACAGAGGGGGTGGCTGGATGGAGGAGAGCCCTTCCTTCTGGCGTGACAGGAGGACGTGCATGAGAAGTGCCTGCCTCTGGCAGGCTAAACTATACACACCGGAGACATTATTGTCTTGAAAAGCAAAGGCAGTGAGTGGTTCCTTAAGGAGGCTGGATCCGAGGCTGGTTCCCAGGGAGGAGCTTCAGTGGAAAGTCCAAAGGGAAGTCCCTGAAGGTCTGGGAGCCAAAACCAACACAGTTCTGCCATCCGAGCCTCCAGCCTCTTTAACGGCAGCTGGGGGTTCTGCCTCCCCCGCTCTCTCCCTGGAAGCCTTACTGGACCCCAGCCCCCCAGATGCCCGGCCCCATTTTCTGATGGGGGACCTCTCTGAGTCTGGGTTTGCCCAACCTCGAAAATGGAAACAGTGCTATTTATCTCACAGGACTGGGGATTCCTTGAGAGCAGGCCGTGCACCCCCATGTCCCACCACTAGGTCTCTGTCCCCAGTACAGTGCGTGCAACACAGCAGATGCTCACCAGTGACTTGCTGAGTGGGCGGGACCAGCAGGAGGAGTGAATATGATTACACCTTACAGTCTCTAACAAACAGCGGGGCTGCAGGTGTGGGATGCTGGAGTGCCACAAGGACCAGGTGTCCTGAAAGCCTCCTTCTGGACCCAGAGAAGCCACATTCAGGGGTGGGAGGGAATCAGACTGTGGACAAAGGGAGGACTTGAACATAATCCCCAGACTGAGGGTGAGTGGCCCGAGGAGGGGTGACATCAGCACCCTCCCTGAGCCGGGATCCTCTTCCCCACCTAGCCCGGGGAGAGGGCATGCCTGCCAAAGGGACTTACCAGGAATTCATTCATTCCCACCCAACTCCCTTCTCGGTCCAAGTCATGCCCAGTGTACAGCTGAGCCCTCCAAGCAGTTCCTGGGCCTGGACCCGGCTCCTCTCGGTCTGTGTGATGCTCCCGTCACCTCTCAACAACTGTCCTGCCCCACCCTACTAGTCACTAATGCAAGGGGTCATGTCACCTCCCAGGGACATGTAGCAGTATCTGAAGACATCTTGGTTGTCGCAGCTAGGGGATGTTCCTGGCCTCCAGGAGGTACTGCTAAACACCCTATGATGATGCACAGGGCGACTCCCTCCACACAGAAATGTCCGGCTCGAGCTGTTTGTAGTGCCTACTGTTGCAATTGGTGCATCTCCTCAAATGGGAAAGGGCCCCACTGTGCAGGTAAAAGAAACTGGTACGCGGAGATGCTGTCTAACCTGCCCAAAGTCACACAGCTTATAAGGAGAAAACCAGGGTTCCAACCCAGCACTGCCTGATGCTGAGTCTTAGGTTCATTTCACCACAGTTTCCACAAAGCCCATTCCCACTGCAGGCCTCGTTCAGCAAGGACACCAAAGGTCCCTTCCCCAGGAGGAAGGATAGACAAGGACCCCGCCCTGGACCCTTTCTCGGATACCCTGGCCTCCCAGGTGCCCTCAGATCAAGAGGGGTTGGGAACCCAGTTTCCCACCCAAAGTAAAGCCTCAATCCTTGGCGGTGGGATGTGGGCCACCGAGAATTCCAGAAGACGCACATTCTGAGACGCACAGGTGCGCACGTGCCCTGGACAGGCTGGGAAGGCAGTTTTCAAAGTAAAACCTTTGAATCAGACCAACCGCAGTATGTGTCCCAGGTCACTGAGGCCACCTGCGTGACCCTGGGCCCCTCTGACCTGAGGTTCCCAGATCTACACAGTGAGGCTCATACCACGCCCCACCCAGAACTGCCTGAGGAACCAGAAAGCGGTGGGCGATCCGGACCTAACCGGCAGCACCTCTCGAAGCCATAACGGTGAAGCCGGCAGCATCCCCTATGTTTGCAGGGGGTGTTGAGGCAAGGGGTTGGACAAGATGCCTTCAGCCAGGCCCTCTTCTTCCAGGGACCCAGCGTGTGGCAAGCCACACCCTAATCCCACAGGTCTTCCTCCTGTCCCTGCCCCTCCCTGTCTGGCAGGCTCAGCAACTCACCCCTGTGTCTGTCCCCAGAGATCTCCCTGGATGTGGACGCAGATCGGGATGGCGTGGTCGAGAAGAACAACCCGAAAAAGGTACCTCGCTACCAGGGCAGAGAAACAGACAGAGGTAAGGGGGGCATCGAGAACAGAGCCCCAGGCTGGATCCCGGAAGCAGCCATGGTCCTCCCAGCAAACAAAGGTGACTGTAATTCTCAGAGGGGGAGATGGGGACATTCGACAGGCTCCCAGGCCCACAGTGCAAAGTGACAGACCCGCAGAGGAGACAGACCCCCTATGAGAACAACTGTGGAACAGGTTCCCAAGTCTCAGCCCCACCCCACAGGATAGGGAACCCCCAGTTCATAGAGTTGTTGGAACAAACTAATGTCCTGCCACAGAGGAAGTACTGCCAAGGTATTAGCTCTTATTATTTTGCCTCAAAAAAAAATGTTTAAATCTGAGTGGGAGAGACCAGCAAGGGGCAGAGGCTGCATTCATCAGCCTCAGTTCAAGGCACGTGGTCTTGAATGGTGCCTGCACAGCCCCTCTCCTGCTGCTGATTCATTCACTCATCCATCATTCGTTCATCAGTTCATTCATTCATTCATTCATTCACTCATTCCTTTTCTTCTGTCCTACATTCCCCATTCCTATTCTGCTCCCCGACAAAGGACCATTCTAATGGGTTTAATGTGTCTCTTTCGTTTCTTCTGGTTCTTGCAAAAACCTGTGGTCTGGTTGGTGTGCAGGTATTTTTAACTCGTGCATACAGCATTATGTTCTCCATTTCATTCTGTTCAGTACTTTTTGCCCAAAACACAGTGTTTAAGCTCCATTGGCTTTGCTCTGTTACATTCTCTAATTATTTGCCATAACCATCTAAAGCCCGGTTTAAATTACACATAGATGGATACTTTTAAAAGTTAAATAACTACACCAACGAGGAGCCTGGGTACTTACTAGCCGCTGGCTGCAGACTCCCTGCTTGTTGCTAAGGGGGCCTCAGGAAGCCCTTTAGGGAGCCGTCTCTCCCAGACTCCGCAGCGGGCCTCTGCTCTGGCCCTGCCTTCCCCAGGCAGCTGAGTCAGCCTCACACGTCCGTTCTCTGTGTCGGTGGCCCCCAGATGTGACAACAGATTCCACACAGGCCTCTGAGACCTCAGCCCCGCCTGAGGACCTCTGTAGCCTTGGTGACTTGGTGAAGTCACATAGTCCCTAAGGGGCTGAACTCACCCAGGCTTTCCCCTTGTGAGTCAGGGACATTTTACACCATGTTTATCATTTTGCAAATATTTGTTGAGCACCTTTTATATCCCAGGTCTGAGTCAGGCCACGGGGACACAGCTCCTACCCTCGGGGGGCCCGCATTAAATAAAGAATGTCCTAGGTGGCCTTTTCATCACAGTTGTCCTAAATCCACTCCAAAAAGAACATGTTCAGTGTCATGAGTGTGAACCCAGGGAGGCCGTTCTGCTCGGGAGGATCATAAAGTCATTCTGGGGAAATGGGACAGTTTTGCTGTGACCAGGAGGAGTGGCGTTGGCCAGGTGAAGGGACACAGGACAGCACGCCAGACGGAGGGGCCAGTGCAGGCGGAGGCCCGAGGGCTTGGCATGTGGGGAGCAGAAAGGCAGCCGTGTGGGGGGAGCAGAGTGAGCTAGAAGGAAGGGGAGGGAAACAGATGGGGAGGGGGCAGGTCTCCCCGGGGCTTGCAGGCCAGGTGACTTTATCATAAATCAGCAGAGAGCCCCTAACCAGGAAGAAAGCAGGAAAGCCACCCAATCTGTTTGGGTTCATGCTAACCACTCTGGCTGCAGTGCAGCCAATGGGGCGCCTTGCAGGTCCCGTGTGGAGCGCTCAGAGGGGGCTGGAAACAGCTGCGTGTCTGTCCATCCAGGCGTCTTCCCCCGAGGCCCTCTGGGGCCTGCAGAGCCTGCCGTACAATGTCTGTCTGCTCGTTTCTCCAGCCTCCGTCTCCTGTCTCCACCCTCCCCGGGCACAGGCACACCAGACCTGAGGCTCACAAGTGCCTCATCCAGTGTCTGTGTCTCTCTCTGCCACTGTCCGTCCCTCTCCTGAACTTGCCTTTGTTGCTCACACCGACCACCTGTGAGCCTCAGACGTGGGATTCGTGTTTGCCAAGTCACAGCTGCCCCAGTGGGCGGTGGCTGTTCTTTATTCTCCTCTTGGGGTCATTTCTCTGGTGTCCGGTGAGGTCTGGGGCTGGGAATATCGGCCAGAACGTAGAGAAGAGGGGACTGACCTCTGTCCCTGCGAATGCAGGCGTCCTGGACCTGGGGCCCCGAGGGCCAGGGGGCCATCCTGCTAGTGAACTGTGACCGAGAAACGCCCTGGCTGTCCAAGGAAGACCTCAGAGACGAGAAGGTCTACAGCAAAGAAGGTACCAGCAGGGCCCACCCTCGGGGCTGGGGCAGGGAGGGGCAGTGGAGGCACTCGGCTAAGTCCTGGGCTGAGCTGAGCGTGCGGCAGGAGTGACCTCAGATCTCCCGGAGGAGGTAGACTCGAATATCCACTCTCGCTAAAAAGAAGACAAAGCTACTCACGCAGTTCAACTGGAACCACGTTTTTAAAGAAGACGCATATAATCAGGGGTGTCCAACCTTTTGGTGTCTCTGGGCCACCCTAGAAGAAGAGTTGTCTTGGGCCACGTATTAAATGCATTGCGACACAAAAAAACTCCTGTTTTAAGTAAATCTGTGATTTTGTGTTAGGCCATGTTCATAGCCATCCTGGGCCGCATGTGGCCTGTGGGCCACAGGTTGGATACCCCCGAATAGAAAAAGGGCGGAAAGGAAATTCCCAAGAGGTTATTGGTGGTCTGCAGTACTAAAGATGCCAGCCGGTGTTTATGCATTTCTACTGCTTCCACAACACAGTAGAAATGTGTAGGGTTTGCTTTGTTCTGATTGTAAAAGCGACATCAGTCCTCTGTAAGCCAGCAAAGGACTTACAAAGTCCAGCTGCCATCTCTTAATTCTGACCTCCTCCTACGTCCACCCCTCAGACCTCAAGGACATGTCCCAGATGATCCTACGGACCAAAGGCCCGGACCGCCTCCCCGCGGGATACGAGATCGTCCTCTACATTTCCATGTCAGACTCGGACAAAGTGGGCGTGTTCTACGTGGACAGTGAGTGACCGCAGCCCAGCCCTCCCGCCGTTCCATCCACTCCCGCTCACTGAGCTGCCCCTGCCGGAGCCCAGCTCCACCCGCTGAGGCTCCCCAGGCCCCTCCCCTCAGCAGTCGTGGCCCCTCAGGTACAGGCGCTGGAGAGACCCAGGACTGGCCTCTTAGTAAGCAGCTGGGCCTCAGTGATAGTAACAATTACTGAGTTACGTTACTGCTCACAGTACGACTTGTCCTGCGATGTCAGGAAGCCCCACAGGGCAGATCTCTCCTTTCTCAAAGGAGGCAACAGTAACACCCGTTTTTGTAAACCTGGAGGCCCATCTTCCTCACGAACCAAGGGAGGGAGGGCTGTCAGGTCCATCTTTTCAGAAGTCATGTCTCCATGACACCTGAAGCAGGTGCCCCTCTGCGGGGTTTTGCCCATCTCAGACTTCCAGAAGCTAAGAACTGCCTCTGACTTTTAAAGAGCCCCTGACGATGCTGTGGGCACCCTGGGGGAGCTGACCCTGTTATTGTTCTTGACAGGGACAGGACATCCTGGATCCCCACTGTGTAGGGAACAGGCTTCCGCCACGGAGCTGCCTGCTTGACTCATTCTTTCAGTCAGTGTGTGCTGAGCCCCCTCAGTGCCAGGGGGCTGTTCTCAGCACTGGGGTCCCCGAAGTGAGCTCTGCAATCACACCCTGCCCCGGGGAGGTGACGGCCTAGTGAGGGAGACGTAGTACGTAGCATGATTGGAAAACATGACACAGACCACGTAACGGAGGGTAGCACAGGCAGAGGTGAGGTGCTGCTGGCCTAGCAGGTGACCTCTGAGTTGAGACCCACCCCAACAATGAGAAGCAGCCACATACTTACGCGCTAAGGGAAGGGTGTCCCAGGCACAGGGAACAGCATGGACAAAGCCCAGGGGCAGGAACCAGCTTAGAGAAGCAGAAAGAAGAGCAGAACGAGGGGAGGTGTGGCATCGAGGGCAGCGAACGGGGCAGTGGCCAGGGTGTGCAGAGAAGGCCTAGCTTTGATTCCGAGGGCAGCGGAAAACCATTAGAGGGCTTTAAGCAAGAGACCGTCAAGATCTGATATAGGCGTTAGAATGCTAAGTGAAATCGTTAACTTTGCAGTCTGCCTGGGTGCAGTGTGGGGCTTCCCCTGTGTGCCCCACAGTCCGGGGACCCACGATCTCTGGCCCAACTCTGGAGGCTCACCCCAGCCAGGACAGTCAGTCATGGGGACCCTGGACCCTCATCTCAGGGAATGATTTTGTCAGGACAGCAATGGACAACTGCCACCTGAAGCCACTCCTCCTTTGGATCCATCCTGGGCCCCGGCAGTGACCTCATCCAGGTTGGAATATCCCCAGAGTCAGGCTGGCTCCATGTCCCAGGAGGCTGGGGATGTTAATATTTACCCTGAGCAGGCCAGGTGTGCCCCGGGCATAGGGCTGCCGGTGGGGACTGGAACAGTCCAGGAAGGACCTTCACCTGGGCCTACTGACCATGACATTGAATTGTGATAAGTGACCCGTTACTAATAGTGACTCCTGGACATTATCCAAAGGGTTGTTTTTGTTGATGGGAGTGGATTGAGGTCTGGCCCCATAATCACGTCCCTCCTTCCTCACCTGCCATCCGAGATGGGTCCTGAGCAGACGAGAAACAGAGGGATCACCAGTGCAAGCGCTTCGGACGCCAGTCCCCAGTCTGTGTTACCTGGGCCACCATCCCGCAGCGGGTGGCCTTCCTGATGCAGCGATGGCCCCAGAATAGTCGGTTTCCCACAGTGGGCTGAGCCCTGGGCGAATGCTCATTGTCATGGTAACAGGAGGAAAACAACCATCGGTGGCAGTGTCCTCTTCTTCCTTTTCTTCTGTGCAAACACTTTGGGGTTCTGACAACACTCAAGGACACCTGAGAATAGGTTGTGTTACAGGAATGTCACATGTCACCTGTATCGCCCAAGGGCAGAGGGCTGGGCTGGAGGCCGAGAGACCCCAAGAGGGAGCCCCGAAACCAGGAGATTCAAACCTCAGATCTAAGCCAGTCTCACTGGGCCATGCCGTGTGTTCCCCAGATGGGATGTGACCTCGGGGCAACAGGAGGCCTGACTGTCCTGCTGGCGGTGGGAACTGGCAAGGAGCGTGGGTCGGGCACGCAGTGCCGCAGCCAGTCCGTGCCACACTCTCCCTGGATGGCACTTGTTGCTTTCATTGGGATTGTTATTATGACTATTAACTGTAACCGTTAGAAGTCTCCAGGGCTGTTAGGAAGGCCCAGGTGTCTGTGCTCCAGCCTTCGCTTCTGCCCCAGGATCCGGAATTGAGGTCTGACTGCTTCCTACAAGGATGTAGGGACCAGCCTCTCCACTTGCCCAGGGCCTTCCCAGGTTTAGCCCTGAAAATCCCTCATCCCAGGAATCCGCCCAGTCCCAGGCAAACCAGGACAGTTGATCATGCTACCTGAAGGTGAAATGTCTCCGAAGTGACCAAAAGAAGGGAGAAAGCCAAAAGGGTTGTGCCAAAGCATACCACATGCTCAGCAGGACCAGGGACCAACGCCTGAGGCTAAGGAGAGGGCAGGGTGGCCAGCGGGCCCAGCGAGAGGCACGTGGGCCACTTAATAAAGGGGCATTGTTGGTTCCCGCCGGGAGAGCCAGCCATGTGCAGGCGGGCCTACACCCAGCCGGGGACAGGGGACAGGGCAAGGAGACACCTCGGGACAGTGGCTGGATTGTTCCCACCGAGGAATCCATCTGCCTGGAGCTGCTGGCTCAGGCCACCAGAAAGAGAGACATAAATCGCAGGCCAGGGGAGGGAGAAAAATGCATGCAGATAGGCAAGATCAAGTCCATCCACCTGAACGAACTTTCCTGGCCAGGCCGCTCCCCAACCCAGACCCCAGTGGAGCCCTTCCCCCACCATCTTTGTCCAGCTTTCTGCCAAGACAAGTCAGCTGTCAGATGACATCTCTCCCCTGAGCATCAGTTCCAGTGTAGCCTGGGTGTGTGGGCGTGGAAGAGCCGGAGTGCCTTGGGGGGCCTTTTTAAACCATGCAGATCCACCTGGATCTACTCACTGATTGAGACGCGGGCACATGCTGTCATTTCTCAGTGACAAGGATTTCACCTTCTGGTTGAGTTCCTTGGAACATGTGGTGCCTGAGTCTATAGGCCTCGTTTCTTGAGCCCCTCCAAGGGGAGGTGACGTGAGATATCATTCCTTTGCCTTCTGTTCCTGAGCCGTGTGATGAAAAGGCCGTGAGTTTTGTAGTCAGGGGTGTCCTGACTCATTCACAGGGCGCAGCAGCGGGTCCCAGCTGTGTTACCAATGGTCACCCATGGCTCCCAAGTTCACTGAAGGTACGGGTGCTGTGTCATTTTATCTTTCAGTGACCATGTGGCATGGATATCATTATTCCCCCATTTAACAGATGAGTAAACTGAGGCTCGGGGAGGATAAGTGAACTCCCTGAGGTTTTCCAGCTTACAAAGCCAGCGTGGTATTCAAGCCCAGGCCTGTCTGGCTCTGGAAGCCATCCCCACTCAGGTGACCGCCCTCAGTGAGCAGTACAGGGTGAGGCAAGAGTAGGTTGACAGTTGTGCATATGCGAAACACAGAGCTTATTCTTGTGTTACTACTTATTCATTATTGTGTCGTTACCCACACGAACAACTGTAAACTTGCCCCATCCTGTATGACCAGGGTCTAGCTGAGCATGTGGTCCTAGGTGAGGAGCCATCCCAAACCTGGGCCTCAGCGGTTCCTCCATTGCTTCTGCGAGCTTTAACCAACCACCCTGTTTGTGCCGGGACTGTTCCGGTTACCTGCTTCAGCCCTTGGATGAGCGGTCATTAACCATTTCCACTGTGGGTGACAACAGCACTAAGCTGAGCCTGATTCTGCCCTTCCAGCTCTGCAGGGCGTAAAGAAACTCCTCCGGGAACTGCGTAGGGTCCTACCTCCATGCCTCGGCCGGTGCAAGTATCTTCTCTCCTCTGCACCCCGCCTCCGCCACCCCGCAGCACATCGCAAAGGCTGCCCTCCTCTGCTCCAATGCTTCCCACCCTGCCTCCCCTCCCTGCCCACCCCCTGCCCCGGGAACCCCATGGGCTCTCTCACCCTGTAGCTCTGTTATGACACTTCCCAGCTCTGTTCTACTTACCACCCACTGAGCGCTGACTCTGTGTCCCTGCCTCTTCCACGGTCCTTGCCCATGCTGATCATAGACTGATAATTCAGTACATGTGCTCTGAGTTGGCCTAAAAATTCTCCCCTGGGGAGCGGTGTGGGAGCCACTGGTTCATCGGTCCAGTGGACATTTATCACACATGACGTGTGCCAAACCAGCTGGGCCCGTTTCTGCCCCCGAAAAGGCGACAGCCTCTCGGAGCCCACAAGTAAACACTAAGATCATGCCCATTCAGAAAGGCTGGGAGGCAGAGGGTGGGTGCCGGGAGCTCCGCACAGAGCCCCGGGCTTGGTCTCTGAGGGGTCTGAGCCCCATTCTCTGCAGTGACACAAGTCAAGGCCTGAAAGAGGAAGGACAGGGAATGGCACTGGGAGTGGTGGGGGCTTCAGAGTCACAGGAGCACTGAACAAACCCGCCTGTCCGCCCAGCCACGAAAATGTGCAGCCAGAGACCCTTGCATGGGATTTCACACCAATACGGCTTCTATTACATGGAGGAGAATTTTGATGCAAATGGGCACATCGGTCTTTTATTTATATAACGGGAAGGGGAAGTTGGGGTTCAGAATTGGCCATGACTTTGAGCCCAGCTCAGCCATTCACTGGCTCTGCAACCTTGGACAAGCCACTTCTCCTTTCTGAGACTCGGTTTCCTCCTCTGTAAAATAGGAGCAATAATATCTTTCCTCAGCATCACTAGCTGCTCATTTATCCTCTGCCGTCATTCCATGCACGTCGTCCCCGGGAGAGTGGGCTCCTTTTATAGATGAGGAAGGCACACGAATGGCTCCAGTGCCACATGGGTAACACCCAGCAATGCTGGGGTAATGACCAGGCCACGGCCCCTCTGGTGGCATTTTCTGCTTGTGCTTCTCTCTCTTCACCTGGAGGACAAGTTACTCTGCCATCTTGTCCCCCACTGGTGACCCCGCCCCACTGACCTCTCCTCGTGGGCCCAGGGTCTGACATCAGTCCCTCTCCCTCCAGATCCATTCTTTGGCCAGCGTTACATCCACATCCTGGGCCGGCAGAAGCTCTACCACGTGGTCAAGTACACGGGTGGCTCTGCGGAGCTGCTGTTCTTCGTGGAAGGCCTGCGTTTCCCCGACGAGGGCTTCCCAGGCCTGGTGTCCATCCACGTCAGCCTGCTGGAGTATATGGCCGAGGTGAGGGCTCCAGGCCTCCATGTGGGGCTGCCCCTGGGCTCCACGTAGGGCTCCTTCTAGGGAGGGGGCCACACCCAGGACCCCCCACTAGGCTCCCCTCCCCTCAGAGCTCCAAGGGAAGGTCCAGGCTTGGAGACCTAGATGCCCCCCACCATTCACATTCAGGTGAGGCTGGATCTATCTTAGATTGCTCAGCGTGCGTGGGCTCTGGAGTCAGACTGCCCACGTTCAAGGCCATGAGAGCCTGGGCAAATGAACTGACTCCCTCTGCTTTGGTTTCCAACAAAAATTCCTGCTTCCTGGGGTGGTTATGAGCATTTGAACTTGTAAGACTTCATTCACAAAGCACCCTCAAGTTTGTGGGAAAAGGGAGAGGCAGAAAAGGCACAGCTAACAGCAGGGGCAAGGAAGGGGCTTTTCCCAGTGGGTGCCCCAGCGGGTACCGCAGAGATGCAAAGGCAGGACTGGGAGGGAAGGGCCCGCACCCCCACAGCCCCGGCCTCCACCCTGCCCAGCGAGGGCAGGGTCCGGGTTTTCTTTAACTTTTCAAAGCCACTCCTGCCAAGGAACCCGGGATCATCTCTCATGTTCCCTCAGGAGGCAGGCCAGCTCCCTGAGTCTTTCCTGAAAATAAAGAACAACCTGGACACAGCGAAGTGACCCCCATCAACATTAAGATGCTCGCACACGGAAAACTTCGAGGTGCTCGGAGTGAGCCCAGAAACAGGCCCACGGGCGGCTCGGCCCTCCCGTGGGCCGACTTCAGGAACAGGGCCTTGACCCGGCAAGACCAGAGAGTGGTCGCGAGTGTGCTCAGCTGCCGGGCAACCTTGGTCTAACTCTGGGCTCTACCACTGGCCAACCGCATGACCTCAGGCAGCTACATAAGAGTTTTGTGACTCGGAGGTCTGTGACTCAGTTTCCCCATCTTCAAAACAAGGGTTATAGTGCGTCTACCCCCTGGGGGGAAGGCAGAATGCACTGGTTCGTGTAAAACACCCCAGGGTCTGGCACACAGTAAGTGCCCAGCGAACGTGCCGTTGTTATCCGTCCCACCCACGTTGGAAGGCAGGCGTGAAAAGCACTCTGACGAGACCTCTCGATGCTTCGCCCCTTCTCTCCCACGCCCAGGAGATTCCCCTGACGCCCATCTTCACGGACACCGTGATCTTCCGGATTGCTCCGTGGATCATGACCCCCAACATCCTGCCTCCCGTGTCCGTGTACGTGTGCTGGTAAGCAGTGGCCAGCGTGCGGAGGGGCCGTGTGGCCGGGCGGCTAACGCTGGGGCTTCGCGGACAGGCAGACTCGAGTTTGGACCCTGGCTCTGCCACTTCCCTAGGCCTGTGACCTTGAGTGACTCACTTGGCCTCTCTGTGCCTCCATTTCTCTGAAATGCTAACATCACAGTCACCGGGAGAATTAAAGGAGACGAAGCAGGCAAAACGTTCATCCGAGGGCCTGGCACAGAGTTTCGAGCTCTAAAAATAGTAGTTACCACTTCTTTTCTTATTCTTGGTCCGTGCTGTGGAGTCAGGAGCTGCCTATGCAATAGATAGTCATCTCATTCACTCAGGGATTTTTTTAATTGAGCATCTATTTTGTGCTAGACAGCCACAGCAAGATGAGAAGCAGGGGAAAGAATCTCCTGCAGGTGGATGCTGGCCACACCCAAAGGACCCTGAGGTGCTGGCCCATCCCCCACCTCCTTGCTAAGAAGAGCTCCTCTTTGGGAATTAGGGAATCCGAGACCAGGCTTTGGGACAGGTGGGGTTGAGAGCTCCCCTCCTCATGTCATTTACTCATGACCTTGGCAAACACCACACGTGTGGGTATGTTTGCTTGGCCCCTGAGTCTGTGGCCTTTGCAAAGGTGACTGGGGCCTCACCTGCCGAGCGCAGCCTAGAGGTGCCAGCTGCTGTTGCCACCTCAGCGGGCCGGCCCTCATCCCTCCTCACCCTTTCTCCTGGCCTTCCCCTCTTCCCTAAACGTCTCAGCATGAAGGACAATTACCTGTTCCTGAAAGAGGTGAAGAACCTGGTCGAGAAAACCAACTGTAGCCTGAAGGTCTGCTTCCAGTACATAAACCGAGGGGACCGCTGGATCCAGGTGAGGAAGCTCAGGCTGGGAAGGACCTGGCCCAGGGCTCAGGCCAGAACAGTGGGCTTGACATTGGCACCCCAGCACCCAGCAGCTCCGTGGGGGGAATTCTGCTGTCGGCTCGTATGTGCACATGTGCTCACAGGCGTAAAGGAACAAGGCAGCTAACAGCAGCCAAAGTAGCAAAAGGCTATAAAACACCCCAAATGTCCACCCACTGGGCACGGGGTAAGCATACATATGATATGACGGCCTTACGGTGGCCCTATACAATGGCTAAAAGAAAGCCACCCTATAAATACAGAATAGGCTTCCAGGTGCGGTGTTACCTGCAGGGAAATGTATACAGGATGTTACCAGTTATGTTTTATAAAACAGGGTTGGTGTGAACACACATGTGCTTGGGACGTGCAGAGGTCGTCTGCAGAAGGATGCAGCTGTCAGGAAGGGGGGGCTGGCTGGTGTTCACGGGCGGCACCCTGGGCTCATCTGGTGGCTCTCCTTGGTGTCCCTCCCCAGGACGAAATCGAGTTTGGCTACATTGAGGCCCCCCACAAAGGCTTCCCTGTGGTGCTGGACTCCCCCCGAGACGGAAACCTGAAGGACTTCCCAGTGAAGCAGCTGCTGGTGAGATGCTGAGGGCCACCTCGGTGTGGGGAGGGGAGGCACGGTCCTGGGGGCTCTCACAGGACAGAGTGCTCAGGAGACCTTGGGCACCCGGGACAGATTGGCCCAGGGCCTTCATTTTCCCACTTTCAAAATGGGTCTGTGAGAAGTGACCTCTAAGGTCCTTCCCTGCTCAGTGAATAGATGCCTTTCCGAAAAATGGAGAGTTTTCTGTTACATGAGAAATGGGACCTGTGGGAGACAAAGGCAGAGCAGGGGATGTGACTTCCGCCACGGCCCCACGCCCCGCTTGCAGCAAAATGAGTTTCAAAGAGGAAAATTACAGTTAAGTAATTGTCAAAAGCCATGGTTCCAACTTCAAAGCTCATTAAAGCTGTGGTTTTCAGTGCATGTGGTCTTTTTAACATAATCTGACCCCCCCAATTCCAGAGGCCATTTCCACTCCCCTCAGAGGTGACCCCTTGCCAGGCTCACACCTGCTTCCTCGCTAACCTACCTGCCTCGTCATGCAAAGGGGTCGAAGCCCTTGGTGTGAGCACAAAGCTCTAGAATGTCAGCAGACAGAGCCTTGAGTCACGGTTCTGACCTTAGCAGCAGTGTGACCTTGGGCAAGCAACTCAGCCTCCTGAAGCCTCCACTTGCTCATCTCTGAAGTGGGGATGGAAACCATGCCCATCTCACAGGATCGGTGTGAAGACTGGGGGCATTTTCCAGGGCATCTGTGCTGCACCCAACACGATGCCCATCACTAGCTGTTGTTACAGTTGTCATTCCACAGCCCTGGTACTGTCCTCTATGGGGACTGTCCACCTCCTCCAACACTGCAGAGTCAAACTGGCCTGTCCCTGGCAGGTCCTATGCTCACTCTCCCTGGGTCACCGCCTACCTTCAGCGCCTCCCAGGCTGGCCTGCTTCCAAAGCCCTGGGCTGCACCGTTCCTGGAGGCCGTGCCAAGCCCAGCTTTGTGCTGCGTGCCTGCCTGCCTGCCTGTGTGACACCGTGAAGCCCCAGCTGCCCCAGCACCCGGCAAATCACACTGTGCCGTCCGGGCCTCCCAGGCGAGAACACGCTAAGCTGTGGCCATCCACCCCACCTGCCACAGCTGTCCCTGGAGACTCTCGGCTGGGCCAAGATAAGCCACATACCTTTCCACTCCACTTGTTTTTTACAGGAATTCTTGTGAGACAAGCTTAGTCCCAGCCCCAGTGCAGATTCCCAAGCAAGGCCCCTACTTTTTTTTTTTTTAACCAAAACAAAATCAAAGAAAAACCTTAAAATTGAGTGGGTCACCAAGGTTATCTCAACTGGGGACCCTTGGGGTTATGCCAACCCCAGTCTGTTGGAGCTCTGTGCTAAGGAGGGTTCTGAGGCTACACCTGGGCTCAGTCAGTGACAATTATGGTTGTTTGGGAAGAGGTAGAAATGTCACATAGGTTACATATCTGCCCTTCCTGCATGTATCGGTCAGCTTTCACCAGGTAAGCTTGCAGTGACAAACAGCCCCCAAATCTCAATACCTGACAACAACAAAGCACTGTTTCTTCCTTGCACTCGTGTTGGTTGCTGGGTGGTTGTCCACCGCTCTGCTCCCTCATTCCTTTCTCCTTCTACAGCCCAGGTGGCAGGAGCAGCCCCATTCTGGGAAGTGCCATTCTCCTGGCACAAGAAGAGAGAGAGTTGGCAGGCACACACAGGGAAACTTGTGGCTACTGCTCTGAACGGGCATATATCACTTCTGCTCACATTTCATTGACCAAAGCAAGTCATTTGATCAAGTATGATACTGAGCAGGGAAGTATATTCTTTCTACAGGGAGATACCAGAAGTCACACAGCAATAGCTCAGAATGCTGAATCCTCTTACTAAGAAGGGGGAAGCAAGTTTCTGGGAATAATAATACCATCTACGTCCTTGTCTCAGGTCGTCTAACCCAACACCTCTTTGGCACATGGGGACACTGAGGGTCAGAGTAATGAAGAGACGAGCAGGGGCATCCATAGCGCAAAATGAGGACGAGTCCTGAAATCACTGATTTGTCTTCATGTTCAGGGACCAGAGGCACAGGCAGAGGCTCAGATGCACGCATGCGTGCACACACGCACACTTATATACCACATGCATACCCAACTCACACAATGTGCTCACAAACTCAGCCTCCTTCTCCCAGGTCCTGCTGTTCGATGAGAACAAGAACACCACGGACGACCTTCCCCCACCCCGGGGAGGCTAAGTGCCCACGGTGCCAGACCAAAGGTGGTCAGAGTGGCCATCAGAACGAGGCTACATTGGGGCTAAGGACTCCTGGCTGCAGGACACTAATGATGGTGGTGTGCCCCCTGCCTAGGGCCCAGATTTCGGCTACGTGTCCCGGGAACCCCTCTTTGAGCCTGTCACCAGCCTTGATTCCTTTGGGAACCTGGAAGTCAGTCCCCCAGTGACCGTGAATGGCAAGACATACCCGCTGGGCCGGATCCTCATCGGGAGCAGCTTTCCACTGTAAGAGAAGCCAGGGTGGGGCCGGGGGCAGCCAGGCGGGAGGTCCTTCAGTCTCTTTAGGAGTGGCCTGGGTTGCTAACACGTGGAGGGAGCACATGGCTGGGAGCATTAACCCCTCCCACGACTTTCTGATGGGATACAGACATTCCTGGAAAGAAAACCAAGTTAGCCTGTACATCTTAGCATAAATTAGCATCAAATATAAAGCTAAATAAGTACCTCTCTTCTCCACACAGGAGGGTATCTAATGAGATTCTAGACCAGGTAGGGAAAGGATGAAGGAGTCCAAAGAAGGAATACTGAAAGAGGATGAGGATGAGTGGGAGCATACCAGGAAACCCTTGAGGAGGCCCACACACAAAAGTCATGAGAAGACATGGCCCTGCCCCAAAGCATGAGTCTCTGGCACCACAGACTGTCCACAATGCCCTCATTCCACCCCCAGAAGACCCAGCAATCAATGGAAAGGCAGAGTCTTCCTTGTTCAAGGCAATAATGGGGAGATTAAAGACCTCAAGTTGTCTAGCAATCAGAAAGGGCTTCCTGGAGGAGGTGTCACTTTATTGAAAATGAATTAAATGGAAGTTAATGTAGCAAAGAGACACAAGGACTAGGGCAGATTTGGGAGCCATGCCTGTGCCCTAGCCCCCTCTAGCAGTCTAAGCAGGACCCCCGAGCACGGAAGCTGCCCTCCTCACACCTGCTGACACCATCAGAGGCTAAGCGGTACACCAGGGTCTCTCGGCCCTGCGGCTCAGCATCCTTCCCATGACTCCTGTGCTCATGCCGCCCTGGGTTCGGGCTGGGTTCCAGAGGCTGCAGGCCTGTGGTGAGACAGACGACGGCGGCCTTCTGAAAAGCTGCCTCTTCCCCAACCCCGCCCCAGGTCTGGCGGTCGGAGGATGACCAAGGTGGTGCGGGACTTCCTACAGGCCCAGCAGGTGCAGGCGCCCATAGAGCTCTACTCAGACTGGCTGACTGTGGGCCACGTGGACGAGTTCATGACCTTCATCCCCATCCCGGGCACAAAGGTGAGCTGGCTCCAGAGGCCGGAGTGGACGGGATAGTGGAGAACCCCTGCCTGCTGCGTCAGCAGAAGGTGGAAAGTACAGGAAGGAGAAGGAAGGAGGCTGACGCTGGTTTGTACGTTTCCCTGTAGCAGGTCAATGTTTAATCCAACATTCCCAAAATATTATTAGCATTTCAACACACAACCAATATAAAAGTTATCAGTGACAGATTTTGCAATTTTTGTGCGTAAGTCTTTAAAATCTGGGTGTATTTTCCCCTTCATGGCACATCTCACTTCAGACTAGGCACAGTCCGAATGTCCAGTAACCGCACGGGGCCAGAGGCTGCTGTGTGGCCGTGAGGCTGCAGAGAGCGTGGGGTGTGGGCCTGGGCCTCCGAAAGAGGTTCTTCCATTTTCTGAAGTGAGAGGAGTGGCTGCAACTGCGTACCCTGGAAATTTTGTTCACGTGGTCTGTCCTCTGGGCAACGTGAAGAAGCCCTTCCCCACCCCCGTCCAAGGCCACCTTTGACTCCGAGCTTTGACTCAGTGGCACTGGAGGCGGAGGAATTCCCAAAGCAGGAAGGGCCGGGAGTAGTCCTCGGAAAGGGGAGAACCCTGTCCCGCGGCCTCTGCCCCTCGTCGTGGGGAGGCTGAGACCCAGGCGGGCAGAGCCCTGGTCCCTCCGGGCAGGGGCCCCCTCGTGCCCCTTGGCCACTTCCCCTCTGTTGACACTGTCCCTCTGGATGCTCTCTCTCGCAGCAATTCCGGATGCTCATGGCCAGCACCTCGGCCTGCTACCAGCTCTTCCGAGAGAAGCAGAAGGAAGGCCACGGCGAGGCCATCATGTTTAAAGGTGAGTGTCCACAGGGCCCTGGCAGGGAGCAGGGAGCTGAGCCCCCAGAGAGACCCTCAGGCAGATGGGCCCAGGACCTCTTTGTCCCTAAGCACCCAGCCCCACCTCTATAGGCGGCTGGTCCACTCCAGGGCTGTCACCAAGGTGGGAAGCAGCCCTGGCCTCAGTCGACCTGTGCTATGGCCAGCTGGACCACGGAGCTGCCCATAGCTCCTTACTACCACCATCAGAGCCACGTGCCTCTTCAGGGGCTGGAGTTGACTTTAAATGGCACCAGACCCAGAGGAGGGTTACGTGGTGCAAAACTGCTACACAATCTGCCCTCAAGGGGCTTGTGTTTTACAAAGAGGGAAAGAGAGAAATGTGCCTTCGTGGGAGGGACAGGAAGAGACGTGGGCGTCCACAGACCTGGTGTACAGCCCGGCACCATCCCCGTTGGTCCCAGGGTGAGAGATTGCCACGCCTGCGTCACTGAGACATCCGTGTAAGTGGGACAGACGTAGACAGGGACGAGGCTTGCTCTTAAATTAATCATGGAAAGAGGGAAAGCTCATCAGGCCGACCCAGTGAGCCAGGTCCGGCAGGCCATGCAGTTTCTTCGGTTTTTCTTAAGTTACTCTTTGTCACTTTCAGTTGGTTTCTCCAGTCTGTTACTTCCAAAAGTCTGCGTCCCTAAGGCCAGTTGATACTCACACACATCACTGCCCTCCACGTCCGAAGGCAGCGGTGTCCAGGACAGACGAGACCAGTCTGAGACCACTGTCCTTTTTTAATTCTTCACCGACGGGAATTATTTTCCTGGAACTGGCAGGCATAAGTCTTGACTTTCTGGAGGCTACTTGCTAGATTAAACATATCTCCAAAGCTACCCATAGGGTCTAGGAACCATTATCCCTGTTCGACTAGGTCCAAGTGCTGATGCGGAGACAGCTCAGGGACAGGGCGAGAGCCCCCACCTCTCTGCCACTGCCAAGCTGAAAAAAACTGGAAAGTGCAATGGACCAGACACTCCTCCCAGAGCAGGATGTGCCACTAGTATGACCTTGGACAAGTCACGTAACTTCTCTGTGCCTCCATTTCCCCATCTTTAATTCTAGCAGCTTCCTCACAGAGATGTGGGGAAGATGACTGAGCTGATCCATGTAAAGCATCTGGAAGAGTGCCTGCCACATAGTAGGTGCTCCGTGAGCAGCGGGTGTTATGCATCGTGGCAGAAGCCACCTGGGCCCTCACTGTGGACCCGGAGGCAGATGCCAGCACAGACCCAGGCAGGGGCTGAGTGTGAGGCAGGTCTGGAAAGCTGGACGGTGACACCTCTGGGCATCCTGCCTCTGCCACACTCACCCTGGAGGGTTGCCTGTCCCCAGAAGCAGGCCCCAGGGGTGAAACTCAGGTGGCCAGAGAAAGAGCAAGGCAGCCACCACCCCTTCTGTGGCCCAGGTGACATAGGCAACCCTGGGGAAAGGAGTGTGGGCCGCCTTCCCCAGGCACAGGGCGCCTCGTTTCCCCTGGGAGAGCCCTCCTGGGCCCCGTCTCCCTCCTCCTAGCAGTTAGCCCGGGAGCTGGCATACCTGAGGCTGAACGGTCCTCATCCTTCAACCCCACAGGCTTGGGCGGGATGAGCAACAAGCGGATCACCATCAACAAGATTCTGTCCAACGAGAGCCTCGTGCAAGAGAACCAGTACTTCCAGGTGAGGGTGGGGCTGTTATTATTATTAATCCAAACCATGGTCACCTGAACTCTCACCTCATGGGATGGACCAAAGAGTCCATGAGATGCCCTGTGGCCAGCACTCAGCGCTGGGTGTGATTCATTTGCTGAGCACTTACTAGTATTATTGCTGGATCTCCTCCCTCCCTGTCTTGTCACTGCTGTTACTGAGCACTGGGAAGAGGGGCGCTGGGGAGGGCCAGGGTCCTGGGTCTGATGCTGCCGACAGGAGTCGAGCTGACGAAGGTGGCGGGGATGTCCTCTCACTTGTCCTAGCGCTGCCTGGACTGGAACCGTGACATCCTCAAGAAGGAACTAGGACTGACGGAGCAGGACATCATCGACCTGCCGGCTCTGTTCAAGATGGATGAGGGCCGCCAGGCCAGAGCCTACTTCCCAAACATGGTGAGCCACTCGGGACTCCAAACCCCATCCAGGCCCATCACGGGGCAGCCAGGCCCAGAAGGCCCCCTAGCTAGATGCCACCCAATCAGAAGGCCCGGGTCCCAGTCCTGGCTGAGATGCTGTGTGGCCTTCCCCACCCACCCCAGGCACTCGCCCTCTCTGGGCTTCATTCCCTCCGAGGGGAGATGTGTTTGTCTCAGCTGCCTCACTGGGCTCCTGGGAACCTTTACCCTAAAGAGCTAGGAAGGGCTGTGTGAGTTAAAAAAGCCTTTATGAATGGGGGACGGACAGAGGGATTCTTGTTAGAGAGAGTCTTCTATGAGATAGAAAGAGATTAGAACACACACGTAGATATATGCACACATACACTTGCCTACATGCATGTACATGTGAATACATGCATGCATGTGCATACATGCTAGTGTGTACATATATAGCCATGTGCACAGGCATGCACATACATACAGAAGTAGGCTGTCTCCTTTTCTGCTTCTGCCATGTATAAGCTGCTTAGCCCCCTCTGTGCCTCAGTTTTCTCATCCGTAAAGTGGGAATAAATTACAATACCCGCTTCACAAAGTTGTTGGGAGGGTTTACTGAGCTTGGAACAGAGCCAGGTGCATAGTAGGTGTGTACTGAACAGGGGCCGGCGCCCCGCCCTCCATCACAGGTGAACATGATCGTGCTGGACAAGGACCTGGGCATCCCCAAGCCCTTCGGGCCCCAGGTGGAGGAGGTGTGCTGCCTGGAGACGCACGTGCGCTCCCTGCTGGAGCCACTGGGCCTCTGCTGCACCTTCATCGACGACATTTCCGCCTACCACAAGTTTCTGGGAGAAGTGCACTGCGGAACCAACGTCCGCAGGAAGCCCTTCCCCTTCAAATGGTGGCACATGGTGCCCTGACCCGCGGGGCTGCTGCGTGCCGGAGTCAGCCTGCCGAGACCAGTGCTGTGGCTGGGCCGGCCCTGTGACTCTTACGATTGCGAGAAGCCCTTCCACGATAACCATCAAGATACCGCACAGAACAAAAACAAGGAAGTTTATGACTCACAGGACCTGGAAATTACAAAGCACACGGGGGCCACACAGCGAGGTCGTGGGGGGAGAGAGAGAACACCCGGGCCTGGGGTTCTACTTTTATCGGGGTTGGGGGTGGGGGCCTAGTTTCCCAGGCTTACCCTTTATGGGAAAATTTAAAACATAAGAGGGGAATTTTAAAGCAGGGAAGAGGAAAAACACACTCCCCAAATGGTCAGCTATCAAACTCAACCAAGATCTCTACCCCAAAGGGGCCTGCGGGGAAGGGGTCAGGTGCGTGGCTGGCAGTGAGATTCTTTGAGATAGACATCTTGAAAGTGGACGCTTCAGCCAGGTACATGCATTATAAAAAAAAAAAAAAAAGGAACCCGGCTCTCAGGGCTGCACTACAGGGGACTTGTCACCTCCCTGCTTTCCTGAGTTCTGTCCTGGGGCCTCCGCCTGCCTGACCGGATGCACCGGGAGACCTTTAGGAACTGAGGAGGGATTTGGGATAGCTGTGCCTTGCCCTTCCTCAAAGACCCTCAGCGTCCACTGAAGTCCCCCCCAATGAGCCTCAGCTCTGTCCTCCCTGAAAAGTAGCTGGGCATTTGGTCAGTAGCACTATAGCCCTGACATGAAAAGCAAAACAAAACTTCAAAACACCCAAATCATTCCCCAAAGAAGCCTTGGTCTCCTGTCCAAAACTGAATGAAGTTGAAGGGAAGGAGGTTCAGGGCTTGCCAGTTCCCCTGGTAGCCATGCCCTGAAGGTCAAGGTAGACCACATGGAAAGGGACCCTGGGACCCTGATGTACCTTGACCTGCCATCACCGTTTCAAACTCACCTCCTTTGGGGTTCCGGGTGGTTGCCCAAGTCATTCACTCCTTACCAGCCTCTCCCAGCCCCTCCCGCTTGGCTTTCTGTCTGCGGTGTTGACACCATGGCTTAGCCTCCCCATTCCCGGGGGGGGGGGGGGGTGTCCAATGATGTCACTTAGAGCCTCCCCTGGAGCAGATTTTATCACAGCAGCCTTCTCCACTTTTGAGATGCTCCTTGTGCCTCATCTTTCTCATGGACACAGGCTCTCCCAGGTGCTCAGAGGGTTCTCCCCAGACCAGCACCCTTGTGGCCTGAGAATTCAGCGCGCAAAGAGGCCCTGGGGTCAGCCATACAAATCTTCTCTTGCCTGCTTCTCAGTTCTAGGGCCGGGCTCCAACCTCCCTCCTCTCAGTGCCCCTGCTTCCGATTCCTGATGCTGGCCCCTCGGGCAGCGAGACCAGGACTTCCTCACCACGAGGACTCCCCCCAGGATATGGTTAAAAGCCTCCTCCCCAGACATCAGACCCAACAAGGAGGACCTGGCCTAGCCTCCAGCCAGAGCAGCCGAGTCTGGGCCAGCTGCTGGCCTTAGGGATAAATTGGTCATCCCACGGAAGTGCACCAGCGAGTCTGCCGGAGACCCTCTCACTAGAACCTAACTAACAAAAGCTCCTTCAGGGTCAGCCTGTGTCAGGAGAATAAATGAGTCCCAATTCCACGTTGAAGGTCAAAACGAACCAATTTATAACCAGCAAAAAGATAATAAAGTTGTATTCTTGGGAGAAATGGATTTTTCTCCCCAGGTTATTTCATTTAGTCATTGAATAAACATTTGTTTTGTGCCTACTAAGCGCCAGGCACAGTGCTAGGGTCTGAGGACTCCGTGGTTAGCACCAAGCTGGACACGTGGAGCCCCTCAGTTCCCAGCATGCCACGCTCACACTTGAACGGCCAGCATTTACCCTTTCACGAAGTGCCCTTTAGAAGTGCCAGGCTGCTGTATTCAGAAAATAATATACATTCAGGTCCCAGCACCTTCTGCATTCAGTCTCAGTGAAATGGGAGGTAGAGGGTCTTCATTAAACAGACCTGCTTCCCATCCAGCTGGGCCGGGACCACCCAACAGATCAGACTCCTGAGCCTTCATATGCTGTGCCCCCCATGGGGACAGTGGCCCCTGCCTTAGGGGAACAAAGCCCCAGAGCTTCTCTCCAACCCCAGAGCTGGAGACACCAAGTGCCTATGTGAGGGTGTTTTTTTCCGGAGACTTCGAGTTTGTCGTGTGTGTTTGGTTAATGTGGGTTTTTGGGCTTGCTTTGGTTTCTTTCTAGCCTATCTTAAGGGGAAGTGAGTGCCTCCCATGTGGAAACTGTGTGTGTTTATAGATTTTTCTGAAGCTTTCCCCATCGATAAGTCAGTAATTCCTGGTGACGCTGGAACCATTAGGGCTCAGACGCCCACTCCCACTTGTTTGCCCACCCGTGTGACTGCCCAAGGTATAGACTCCCCCCCAACGCCACAAATTCATTGCTCTTCCTTACCCCCCCACCACTTCCTATAAATGTAGGCCTAGAATATACTCTGTCTTGCAAAACTCAGCAAAGTTCCTGTTTCGATCTTTATTTTGAAATACTCTATATAAGAGGGCAGGGCTGTCGTGAAGTTGGAACAGTTCCAACCCTCTGGACGAGAGGCCATGAATCAGATCAAAGATGGGGAGAAAGCACTAGGTACAGCAGCAATGAAATGAACGGTTGGAGGGGAAGTCACGTGGCTGCGGTGTGAGGTTCGCCGCCACTTCATGGGCACAGCCTAGAGTGATGCAGGCTGTACTCTACGACTCTGCCCTCTGGGCACAGGGTCCGGGCTCTCAGCAGGGCACGTACCTCAAGCACTGGGAATCCCCCGCATATTCGGGGGATGTGTGTCACATGGCCACCACCCAAGGTCGAAACCAACACCCACACTGAGGTCTGACTGTGTTTTTGTGGAATTCCGCAGAAGCAGACCCTGAAATGAGCATTTGAGACCAGTGATTTATTAAGGAAGTATGTCTAGGAGAAACCAGGGAGCAGCGGGGAAAGGGAGCAAGATGGGAAAAGAGAAGAAGCCAAACAAGAGTGTGATTTCAGCTGCAGCTCAGCCTGCCCAGTGGAGAGCTCTGGAGCCTAAGAGGCAGCTCAGAGTTCTGGTGGCTGCAGCTGGAGTTTTGTGCACCTGCACCAGCTGATCGCTGGCTGTGAGAACTTGCTCCAAATGGGCACGGGGCACTCGAAGCCCACAGGTAACCATCTAGAGAGCACCACAGCTGTAGTTATTAGCAGCAAAGTCACAGGAGCTGGGGATGAGCTCACAAAACCAGAAGAGGATCTGGGTAGTGCTCTGAATGTATCCACTGCTCTGGGTAATACCATGTTCTCATAATATGCAATCATCACTCATAGGTGTTTGTGATTTGACCCGGGGTATAAAAATCCATACAGCATAGCCATAGTATAACAGGATCTTCATGAACAAACTCCTGGGGCCCTGAAATAGAGTCACCTGTTTGCTTGCTGGGCCTAGAAGCCACTTCCAAGCCCATTGCAATATACCTGGTGGCTTCTTACCCCTTAGTTCCATCTTGGGCTTCTGGATTGATGTTCTGCTGCAGCCACATTAAGGGGCCACAGCAAAACAAAACTCACTAGTCTCTTACTCCCAGACTTAACTCATGGGTCCAGCCCTCTGAGGTCACTCTTCTCTTTTGTACCCAACTAATGCGACCCAAGCCACAGCAAGGCCAAATCAATCTTCAATGGGCTTTCCTGACCCACCTGTTCCTGAGAATCCCCGAGGGATGCTGGTGTGTGAAATCCATACTGGTGGTGTCTTTGCATTTGGCCACTCATCTCAGAATAGGCGAAAGCCACCCAGAGACTTCTAGAATAATAGTTTCCACGAGAAACATACTGCAAGACACATAGGTCATTTAAAAATGTTTAGTAGCCACATTTTAAAAAGTAAAAAGTTAGTGAAGTTAATTTTAATGATGTTTTATTTAAACTAATATATCCAGATTATTGTCATTTCAACATGTAATAAAACTTTTTAAATATTTTGTAATTCTCACCTGAGGATATGCTTATTGATCTTAGAGTGAGAAAAGGGTGAGAGAAAGAGAAGCATTGATTGGCTGATGCCTATACACACCCAATCAGGGATCAAGTCTGCAAACTAGGTATGTGCCCTGACCAGGAGTTGAACCCGCAAACTTTTGCTATATGGGACAATGCTCCAACCAAATGAGCCACCCAGCCAGGGCAAACCTTCAAATATTAATAAAATATTTTACATTTTATGATAGCAAGCCTTTGAAAGCTGTTGTATATTTTTCACATATCACATTTCTATTCAGACTAGTCAGATTTTAAATGCTCAAAAGCCACAGGTGGCCACCATACTGGAAGGTGTAGTTCTGGAAGCCTCTCTGCCAGACTGAGCCCCAGTTGTAGAAATAGGCACATTTCTTAAAGCCCCGGAGTCCAGCTAGACTGGTTGCAGTGACCAATAAAAGTTTATCACTATAATACCATAAAGAGAAGTATAAAGTAAGCACTGGTCCTCTCTGCCCCTGTGTGCAGAGCTTGGCCCCTCTAGAGGTCCTCTTGCCTGAACCATAGCTGTGCCATGTCACCTCGTCTGGCTTCCTTCTCAGCAAGGGGCATGCCTTTGGCCAAGTCAAAACAGGAACCCCACCAGCCCGCGGAAAGGGAAAACATAACTCCCTCACCTCTGGCCTCCTTCCCTTCACCACTCCCTTGGACACAACTTGAATCTGCATTTTAATGTAAGATGTTGTCTTGGGGCCCCAGGTGAGTCATTACCCCAAGCCCTTCATTCCAGATCTGAGCCACACCATGGCATAGCCAAAAGCCTGGGGAAGTGAGGTTCTTCCCACCCCCAACAAAAGAACAACTAGGGATGAATTCCACCTCCCGGGAGGGACTTATCCAGGGTCCTCACCCTAGTGACATTAGGTCCAGGAGACTAATTGTTACAGAACAGACCCAGGGGGTGCAAATGATATACTATTGCCGAATGGACCCACCCTTGGGCTCCGGGGGTCCCCCACCCTGTACTAGGTTTGCCTTGCCCACCACCAGGGAAAGACATCTCTCAATGCCAGAGATTGGTGAAAAGGAAAGGGATTATTTATTTAAAGAGCTATACAAACTTAAGAGTAATGACTTAATGTCTTCATTGAGATTCCAAAGTCCCTTAGAATACCCACAAACATACAGTCCCTCCTTCCCCCTCTGCCCAGTCTGGGGTACCGTATCTCAGAAAAAGAAATAGAAGCCCATGGTTCTTCTCTGCCCAAGCCACGTGATCCCTAAAAGCCCCCACGTGGCTGCCATGCCTGGGTTTAAATCCCAGCGCCAATATTCCTCTGCAGCCCCATTTCCAACTCCTCCCACAATCAGTTACACCTGCCAGCATTCCCATACCCTTCCAGCTTCACTGGGCTGCCATAGTAAGTCCGGGCAGGTGTGGCCCTGTGGTGTGGAGCCAATCATCTCCAAGCTCTTATGCAGGTGCTGTAACCAGGGGTAGTTCCCTGCCAGTTACATCATGGATTGAAGTCACTCCCATCCCCCTGGCTCAAAGCATGGGCACAGCTGTTTAACATATTTGCGAAACCAGTTACATGTTATAGATATGTTAAATGAACGTTCTAGAGATTATCTGCAAAACTGTTGCTATGCAAAACAACTCTCAATGGCCCCATTCCATGTGTCCCATCACCCAGCTCAGACTTGTGGGGGCAAGGACATCCTATATATATATATTTTCTAATATTTTCTGGACACCCTGAGTTCTGGACCCCATTAAATCCCTATTTGGCCCCCCCCCCCGGACTGTACCCTGTTACATAATGACAATGTTATTTGTAACTAAATATAGTGAGTGACACCAAAGAACAGCTAGAATCTCTTCTCCAGCTGGACAACCAGAAAGATGATGTGCTCAGGCAGAGAGCTCAGCTCTGCAGCCTCGCCCCCCGCCTGGCTGGCGGGAGCAGTCAAAGCCCCCAGCTACCTTTTCAGCCCTGACCTCTGAGCACAGGGCTGATCTTCTCTAGTCACAAAGCAAACTGCCAGGTTCAGGTCAAACCTGCTTTGCCTCAGCCCCTCACGCTCTGCAAGCTGAGGCCGACTTTATTCACAGTGGTGGGCGTACCCCAAGATGACTCTCTAAGAATAGTCCCCAACCAGCTCCAGCCCCTATTCACCTGCCACTGGGCTGCTGATATGTTGAAGAGATACGCTGAACCCTTAAGAGGAATGTTTTATGTTCCTCCTGGGGCATCACTGGCACTCAGCAAGTATATTTTGAGTGAAAGGATGAACTATCTGTTCAGCCAGGCAATAGAAGAAGAAATATCAGCCCAACCACATGTGAAGTAATGAATGATAACCGCCATTGTTTAAACTCTGGCTACATGCCAGGCACCTGCCAGGTTGAACTATAGGAAATGCCATTTGGAAGGTTGAAATGGTCACATGGAGTGGATTTCATAGAGTTCAGCCTAATATTTTACACTCATCCTCTCCCCTAATTCTCACAGCAAATCTGTGAGGTTACTATTATCCACGCTTCACAGATGTGGAAACTGAGGCTCAGAGAGGACATGACTTGCTCAATGTTACACAGCAGGAAGTACGGGGTTCACACCTAGGTGGTCTGACTCCAGAACCCCCCTGCTAATTTCCTGCTCTTGACGACCTCATTTTAGAAATAACTTCCTAACCCAAGTTCAATGTCACCATTCTTTTGTTCATAGATGTTGCCTTCGCACCAGTCACTGTTTAACATAGTAGATGTCCTGTTAGAATCTTACAGTAAGAAAACCCCGCTCCCTATGAGCAAGATGTCTGGAGATTACAGGGTTCCTATGAACCCCTCAAAGGCAACAGAGTCCAGAGAGAAATGGCCTCCACATAGCAGGGCATGTGCCCTGGAGGCCTTAGCTCCAAGATATACTAACATTTAGTTGTACTAAATCACGAAAATCACGTAACATTCGTTCTTTTACCCATTCACTCTTTTTTTTTCATTAACGCTTACTATAAGCATCTCTTGTAGGTACAACTGGACAGATCTTATTATTGTTCATCTAAACCACAGTGAAAGGGGGGACTACAAATAATCCCACCAGGATAGCAGGTGAAAACCAGAGCCTCGCTGGGCGAACTGGGATGCCCTGGAATGAGACATGATCTCAGCCCTGAAGCAACTGACAGCTGAGCCGGGGTGACAGACAGGAGAGCCAAGAGGCAGACAGGTGGAGTAGGTGCGTGATAAAGATTTGCTGAAAGGGGAAATAACTAAGGCACAAAAAGCTGTGGGTTCACACACACACACACACACACACACACACACACACACACACACACAGTTGTTTCCAGCTGGGAGAGAGTGTTCATTTGGGCTGAGGGCCTGTTGAACGCATGTAGGGACAGGTGACTGGGGAGAGCAGGGAGAAAGGGCTGCCACACTGAGCGCAGATCCAAAGGGGGGTGTGTGACATGCCCCCTAAAGGTTTGGAGCAACTGTGGTCATGTGACCAATCCTGGATTTTAGAAAGAGGACAGTAACATATATTTCTGTATTGCTATGAAGCTGATAGAAAAAAAATTTTTTAATGTACCTGAGGAATGATCAAACCATGGTGTATCCCTACATTTAAATATTTTGAGGCACATAGAATGAAATAGATCTGTGCATACTGACAAGGGAAGGGCTCCAAGGCAGAGCACTCGGTGGTGGTATTTTTGAAAAAGAAGAAGGAGAGCCGTGGCTGGTGTAGCTCAGTGGATTGAGCACAGGCCTGCAAACCAAAGGACCACAGTTCGATTCCCAGTCAGGGCACATGCCTGGGTTGCAGGCCAGTTTCCAGCAGGGGACGCACGAGAGGCAACCATACATTGATATTCCTCTCCCTCTCTCCTTCCCTTACCCTCTAAAGATAAATAAATAAAATCTTTTTTTAAAAAAAAGAAAGAAAGAAAAAGAAGAAGGGGAAAGAAAAAAGAACCTCTAGCAAAGCCATGGCTTTCTGTAGAAACATACACACATACAAGGTCTGTCCAGAAGGTATCCAGCCATGTGCTGTGAAAAATAGAGACATTTACTGAAGAAGATCCAAGATACTAGAAACCTTGTACAGAGGACAATGACACCTCAGTCCCCTTCAAAGTAGGCACCTTGGGACCTCACACAGTTCTCCCAGTCACCATCAGCTGCCCCGATGTATTTCCCTGAATCTCATCAACAGTCTGAAATCTCTTCCCTTTCAGAGGTGATTTTAGTTTTGGTAAAAGCAAAAGTCACGAGGCACCAACTCTGGGCTGTAGGGAGGCTGAGTCACCTGGGTGATTTGCTGCTTTGCAAAAAAACTGCCTGAGATGTGATACATTAGCAGGCACGTTGTCGTGGTGAAGCTGCCAGTCACCAGTTGCCCATAGCTGTGGCCTCTGAATCATCCAAATAGTTTCCACAGGGGAATGTTCAAGTTTAATCTGTTGCAGATTTGTTGCCCTGCTTGCTCAGTCATTTTTAATGCAACGGCCACACAGTACACATGTGCCCTCAGTGGCCTCTACCGCCCCCACTGCCTAGTAGAGTGAAGTCATCATTGGTCACGCATGCTCATTCCAGTCCACTCGCCCTGGCTGCCAGGTTAAATGGATGAAGCACAAACCGTTCTTGTTATATTAACAATGGCTGGACTTTTTCCAGACAGACCTTTGTGTATACATGCAAAGAAAAGGATACGGAACCAATCTCTTGAAACCGACAGTAATAAATCACTTCTGGGAAAGGAAGATGACTAAGGGGATTTAAGCTAAATTTATCTATGTTGTATGAAATTTTTACACAGTGAGAACTTAATTACATATGTATTTTTAAATAATTGTTTAAAACTGTCTGAATCCCTTGGCATCTTATTTATGCTGAAG